ATCTCTCTCTCCTTTTTCGCTCACAGCCTCTACTAGTAAGTTCTCTTCCAAACTCTTGTTTCCACACCTCTTAAAAATCTCTCCTCCTATCCTTCCTTCCTTCACATTACTTCCCTCCTTTCAACTTCCTCCTCTTGTTCCCCCAAGCATACCTCCTTTCCCTCTCACTTTCTTCTCCTAACCAATCAACCCAGATCAAGCAAAGCCAACCTCCCCTCTTGAGAACCAAAAGAAATTAACTTACCTACCTACCAGAAGCAATAAGTCCTTTCGTCTCCAACCTCTTGTCTTCTTTTCCCTTGAAGTAGACTGAACCTTGCAAATATCAGAGTTCCAATGGGCTTCAAAGTAGCTCAAGTAGTCTCATCCTTCAAGCAAACGATCTTCAAAACCACAGACTCCCTCCAATTCTTCTAAACTTTCCCAAAGGCTCCCCTCCCCTTTTTCACTCTTAAAAAACTGCTCCAACCCCTTAGTTTCTTGTCCCTTTTCTTAGGATAGTGGACCCCACATAATTTCCTATCAACATTAGAAAACTTAAGCTCTTCACCAACCCCTTTCAAAGAAGAGTGGACCCCACTTCTAATTGCAATAGAGACTGAGCTTCCATCTTCAAGAAATAAACTGGCTCGACCCCCCATGCTCAACATCCCAAACTCTTTCCCAAGGAGCTCTCCCTCCACTTGTTAGTTGCCCTCTGTACCACCTTAAGAACCTCAACCACTTATAACCCTTTTGTCCCCACTCTCCCCCTCCTATCCTTTTATCTTCTCTACCTCTTGTGACACAACCATTGTTGACTTTACCAAATTGCCCCCATCTTCCTCAAACTAACCTTTCAACTTCTCCATCCCCTCAACCATCATTCCGCTAACCACCCCTGCCACTGGGAACCACCTGCTCAACCACAGGTCAAAGAACCTCTTTGTTCACTCTCCACCTTCAACACCCACTCAGCTGCCTCTCTGCTCTGAAACATAAACAACAGAAGTCCCCTGACTAGCTTTCGAATAGCCAAAATCTTCTCCTTCCCCTATTCGATTTCTGCCAACACCAGACCTTTTCAACCTCTAGTTCTGCTCCAACAAATCTCCCAATCAGACAAGCTTCCAACTTCCCCAATCTTTCAAATGTCTTTCCATCATCAGCCCCAGATACTGCAACATGGTTCTCGGACTGCATTCTCGTTTCAGTAATTACAGAAATCACTTACCATAATTAGCATAAGCTCAAAAAAATTCAATAACTTTTGTAAACTATATGTTGACAAAGATGAATTTTGGTTCCAAGTGAGGAGTTGGATGAAGGTTTGTGTCACTACCCCTAGCTCCTCTATCTTAATTAATGGGATAGCCAAAGGACAACTCAAGAATTCAAGAGGACTAAGGCAGGTCAACCCACTATCACTTTTACTTATCCTTATTGTTATGGAAGGCTTTAGTAAAATGGCAGCTAGAGATTCAGAAATAGGCTGTGCATAGAAGGTTTTGAGGTTAGAAGAAATGGCACAAAGATTGCTCTTCTGCAATTTGCAGATGATACACTCTACTTCTGCAATGCATCCTTGGAGAAGGTGAGCAATTTGAAATTCTTACCCTACTGGTTTGAGGTGGTCTTGGATTTGAAAGTTAAATCTGTCCAAGAGTGAAATGATGGCAATTGGGGATATCACAAATATGTAGGAATTGGCTTATGTTTGGGGATGTAAGGTGTGAAGCCTCCCGCCAAGTATTTGGGTCTCTGCCTCTTGGTGCAAAGTGCACATCAAAATCCATTTGCAACCCCATTCTAGAAAGAATGGATTCGAAGCTAGCTTCTTGAAAGGCACACTACCTCTCTAAAGGAGGCAAGGTTACTGTAATTGAGAGTGTCTTGGCTAGTCTCCCAGCATAATTGCATGTCAATTTTCTCAGTTCCTTCTAAAGTAGCATGTAAAATTGAGCAGAAAATGAGAAATTTTGGAAGGAATGCAAAGATTCAGCCAATTATCATCTGGTCAACTGGGATCAGATTTGCAAACCAATATCCCAAGGAAGTTTGGGAGCAAGGATTAAGGAATGTTAAGCAGTTTAATGTGGCTCTACTGGGCAGGCGTCTTGGAGGTTCTCTACGGAGCCCAATAATCTGTGTAGAAAAATTATAGCAGAACAGTATGTTTTAGGAAGCAATGGGTGGGATGCAGAGGAATCTCAAATGTCTTATGGTTGTGGCATCTGAAAAGGGATCTCTAGACTTTTCAACAAGTTCAGTGAAGGAATTAATTTCAAGGTTGGGGATGGGAGAAGGCCGTACTTCTGGATGTGGACCCATGGTGTGGGGACGGAATATTAAAGCATATGCTCTCCGCTTTGTTTAATGCAGCTGAAAACAGGATTATATGGACTCCCTTGTTCAAAAGCAGTTTTAATGACTGGGAAGCGGGTATGGTGGCTGAGCTTCTTGCTGTCCTCCACAATCAGCAATTAAGCCTGCAAAACCAATATTCTAGATTCTGGAAGTGGACGGGGAGTTTACAGTGAAATCTTTCTACAAAGGCCTGGTGGGGAAGACAGAAAATTATTTCCCAAGCAAAGCTATTTGGGGACAGCTGCTCCTTCAAAAGTAAAGTTCTTTCTTTGGGTGGTAACTTCAGAAAAATGCCTTACTGCTGTTTGCTTCAATGTCAGTGAAAGAGAGGTTGAGACTTCAATGTCCCAGATGGGCCCTGTGTGCTTTGTAACAGAGAGGTTGAGACTTCAAATAACCTGCTCCTTCACTGCTGTTTCAGTGCTTCTGTATGGAATCTTCATAGCTTTAAAGCTCCAGGTGCTGTCCCAGGTCAGTGAAAGAGTTGTTAGAAACTTGGCAGGTCTTGGGTAGTCCAGGAAAGGCAAAGTTGTTCAGCAACTGTTCCAGTAGCAATTATATGGGCTTTATGACATGAGAAAAATAGAAGAATCTTTGAACAGAAGTCAATTTCTAAGGCAGTGATCAATGTGGTAGTAGAGGAATTGAAGAATTGGATTTCTATACGCAATGTACTTAAGAATATTATACTTCTTTTTTGAGGGTGGACTTTTTTGGGAGTCCCCAGTAAGCTATACATGTGCAGCATCTCATTGAACAGAGGACCATGCTTTGGTTTTAGTACAATACATTACACTTTACCATTCTCATTCTTTTAAATGCCCTTCCTATCTAAGTTCACAAAAATACACAAAGTTCAAAACATTTCAGTTTTGACTTGTTTGCACCCATCTCCCGGGGCTGGGGAAAAAACTTATTCTCAAGGATCTAACCTAACTGTCTCAAGTAGTAAAACAAACCACAATCAAAGAAATTCCTAAAGTTGCTTCAACACATTTCAACCATAGACTAGGATACCTTACACATAAGCCATAAGGGATTCAAGCTGATCTCGTCTTCAAGTTACAGACACCTCCTTCTTTTCAAGCCTAAAACATCATCCTCCATAATTTTTCAACTAAATGATTAGTAACATCAAACTCTTGCCCACTTAAATTGTGGATGCACTTTTTTTTCTGTCTAACATTTTGCTAACTTATTTGCTGGCCTTGTACTATTTTATGAAATTTTTTGTAGCCTAAGTGGTTCTCCCATCACATAGGTAATTAGGTAATATGGATGCACCTCTTCATTTCGCCCATTCCACTCTAACTCTAGAGGCAATATCGTCCATTCGTCCTCAATTTCTTGTTATGGATTACCAAACCAAGGTACCCTGATTTAACAAAAGAGATTGCATTGAGATATCTCATGGAGTATAATCCTAATTGCATTGCACCCTGATTTATACACCGTTTTTATTAAATATATACATTATATATTCTATTTTAGTCCTATTTATTTAAAACCTCTTCTTTCTAAGGTATTTATCCATAAATCTATTTTTTTTTCATTTAATCATTCCTTAATTTCATCAATTGATACTAATGTTATCAGCAAACAATTGAACCTCCTCCTAAATAAGATTAGTTAGTCAATTCATCCATGACTGCCGAAAACAAACAAGGGCTAAATGATGAGCCTTAGGCAGATTCTCATAATTGATTTTAATCTTATGTGTTCCAACTTCCAAAGAACCAAAAGGAAGGAGACTGCCAAGTTAACCAGCCAGGTCCATTTTCTAAAGCTTCTTTTAACATTTTAAAAACACTGGTCAGTCCCAACTCAATTTTCAGGAAACATACCATTCCAAATCACAAGGGAATAAAGCATCATCAATTATATTATAAAGAATGTTACCATTATATTCAAAAGAAAAAGTAGAATAAAAATTGACAAGCAATATTACTTAAATAAAGTAATAAACCAAATGTGATGACAGTACATAAAAGCCTAAAAAGAATTGAACATAATAAATTTACCATGTATAAACTACAAGCCCAAGGGGAAACAAAGCTTTTAACATAGATACGGAACAGCTGCAGTCTATGGCAGTATATAACATTAATTGAGAAAAGAACCAAAAAAAGCAAGGCTACATTTGTTTGTGGTGTAAAACTCTATTGATGTAAAAGTACATTGATGGAGTTCAACACCGATCAGTTTAAAAGTTGTGAAATGTTGTACTTTGAAAATTGTGATTATCAATGTAAATATTACATCAATTTTTTCAATGTTGTGTTTACACTGATTATCGATGTAAAACTCTACGACGAGTGGAGTTTTACATTGATTTACGATGTAAAACTACACTCCATCCAAACACCAACAAATACAGACCGATAGTGGCACCAATCCTTATTTACACCACTAACAAATGCCGACAAATACAGACGGCAGTGGAGTTTTACACCGATCCACATTTACACCGCAAACAAACGCAGCCTAACTGAATCAGAAAACAACAGAGTTTTTTTCCCCATTTAACAAACGAACAAAAAAAATTAAGATGATTCTAGGCCACTCAGTAAATAACACTACTTTAAGTTTGACTTTGAAAATAATAAATAAGAAGCAACAGACCAAGAGAGTTTATTCATGGACCAATAACCTACCATCGGTATGATTCCTCGGGCTTTTCAGGAGCTCAGTTTCATTTGATTGATAAGTTTCCTCCACGTGACAAGTACAACAAAGCCAACGACGCATCCTTCCTTTCCTTCTCAGATCAATATTCTGCTTGTTACACTGACTCTCCAGACATTCAGGGAAAGAGGAAGAAGGCGCCTGTGCCTGCATAACCAAAGCGAAGTTCATAATTTAACTCATTAACGTATGTCAAACACTACTTCTACATAACCTCATATTTTTGAGCTTCAGTTGGCAACTAAAAACATATTAAGAAGAACTTTTGACAACTGGTATTAAAATGCTTTAAATAACATACAAAAACATTAACATGTCAAAAACTTCTATGAAATCGCCTCAGAGAAAAAAAAAATCGATTGTGCAGAGGTTATCAAAAACTTGCGGTCGTAGTGCAAATGCAAGAAAATAAAAAATAAAAAATATGTTGTCTTATAAATTTGTTATAAAACCAACAGTTTCTAAATCCCAACTGGATTATGAAATGTCCATGAAATGTAATTAACAGACGCATTAACCATTTAGAAACCCAGAAATTTCGGGAAAGTACTATAATCCTTCAAATCTCACCAACATATTGCGCCCCTGAACCCCGTTTTCCATCGCAAGACAGAAGCAGTCGGAAAAGTTACAAGGAAAGAACAAAAGATGAATATAAATCAACACCAAAAACACCAGATGTGTTCAGAATTGTCAGTTGCAACTGATTAATTGAAAGAATCAAATTTAATTAAGAATTCCCAAAATATAGACCCAAAAGGGTTTGAAAGAATAATTGGATTCTAATGGGTTTCTGAAGAAATGGGCAATCAGGGAATCACAAGAGATGAAATGATTCCCTCTAAAACAACGCCAAAGTGGAACAAATAACAAAGCAAAATAAGATGGAATCAAACTGAAAATAACTTTAAAATCAAACAACAAAGCGAGGGAATTAAAAAGGGAGAAAAAGGAGGAAGAGCCTACCTGTTTTTGTCGGGTGGGTTTCTGTTGAGACGTTTCTTGGTGGGATCCAAAATAGGGAAAAACAGGTAGGTATAAAGAGGGGTTTTGGGGTAAGGAGACAGAAAGGCAACGAGAGGAAGGTGGGTGGGCGTGGGTCGAACGGTGCCTCTTAGGAATCGGGATCTGCTCCTCACTTAGCACCTCACAGCCTCATCCCACCGGTATAAAATAAATAATAATAATAATAATACCAAAAAATAATAAAATTAAAATAATAATAATAATAATAATAATAATAATAATAACAATAATAATAGTAGTAATAATGTAGGTACATAGTGTTCACTCAGACCATTAGAAGATACTAAATTAGTATCACATGGACGCTCGTGATGAGTTCATAACTCACTCATCAGTGGTTTGCAATGAGCTTATAATTCATTRAGCGTTCATGATGAACTTGCACTTGACACATGTTGGGACAAACTTTGGCCAATGTGAATTTGTGATGAAGGTTAGACGCACATGATTCTACGATAAACTTCGGACACGTGCAATTTTKCAATAAACCTCAGATGTGCATAAGTTTCGCGATAAACCTCGGGTGTGCATGAGTTATGCAATGAACTTCAATCGTCTATGGTTTTACAATGAACCCAAGACCCTCTGCAAAACCACAGATCACCATAAACCGGGCTTAACCATCGATCGCCCATGCGACATAAGTCACATGCGCGGTAAGGAGCCACGTAGCCTTAGTGGGAATGCCCCTGCCAGATAATGATGTCACCAACGCCACACCGGTTAAGTAGGTCAAGAAAGGAAGTGGCACACGTAGATTATGGGAATCCTCAGACGAAAGGAAAGTTAGTCCTTGAGATATCTCATAAGACACATGGCGAAACCCTAGTGGTGCTCCTTAATGACTGACAACGGATCTAATACTCCCTTTCCTAATAGGAATCAAACTTTTTCAACGCCTTCCTTTCAGGACCTCGGGATCTCTCCTTATAAATGAGAGTCCATCCCATGACGAGATCATCATTAGAATCACCTGATCTTCCTACCCTATTCTCTCATTAGTTTTGTTTACCCTAATCTCTGATTCTTCAACCTGCCTCCGGTCTTCCTTCGTCCTTCAAAGAGACCCCTATACGTAGCCATACCACCCACCTACATTAGAATCTCTGGTTAGTCATTGATCATGAAGGATGGTCACCCACATAATCAACCTTTCACCAATCCTTGAAGGGCATAGCAACATCCCGGAGGATACCAACACAGAGGTTCGAAACCAGTATGAGACAGAAAAAGCCGACCAGACAGACATTGAAATCCTCTCGAATAAGGTGTACGAGTTCGAGACTCGGTTTGAGGCCCGATTYGATAGAATCGAACAAATACAAAATGAGACAAGGGCCGCCCTGCAGATCCTTCTCCAACAAGCAGCCCAGACCGAACAATCTCCCTTCACCCCAGCCGTTGCTCCCACAACCATCCCCGCTAGCCATCACGCCTCCAACCCTAATCCCACCGTGTCAGAGCAGCCTACCAAGGCTAATCCGGTACCTACACAAGCGGGGCAACCCATCACCGAACAGTCCAGAGTCGGTTTGAGGCCCGATTCGATAGAATCGAACAGATACAAAATGAGACAAGGGCCGCCCTGCAGATCCTTCTCCAACAGGCAGCCCAGACCGAACAATCTCCCTTCACCCCAGCCGCTGCTTCCACAACCATCCCCGCTAGCCATCACACCTCCAACCCTAATCCCACCGTGTCAGAGCAGCCAACCAGGGCTAATCCGGTACCTACACAAGCGGGGCAACCCATCACCGAACAGTCCAGAGTCCTTCCCCAAGTGGAGCCGGTAACAGAAGTCCCACTCAACTGGAACGAGTTGAGAGAATATGTTCAGGGGCTGGTGGTGGAGAGCCATAACCAAGCTCAAGCTTCGGTCGTCCTACAAAAACCTTACTATGACCGAATCTTGTACAAACCATATCCCATCGGCTACACTCTTCCCCAACAATGGCTGTTGTAGGTATATAATGCTCGCTCAGTCCTTTAGAGTCCAGAAGACACTAAATCGATACCATATGGATGCCTACAATTAGTCTTTAGCTCACTAGTCACCTGCGATGAACTCGTAGCGCATTGCACGTTTACGATAAACACATGATTCATCGCATGTTCGCGATGGACTCACGCTTAACCCGGGCCTAAAATAAGTTCTAGGTAAACCCACGATGAACTTTATATGAATTCGATTCTGCGATGAACCTTGAACGCGCACAACCTTGCAATAAACCTACGATACACAGTTTTGCGATGAACTTTGGAGATACACAGCCCTGTGGCAAACCCGAGACCATTACAGAAGTGTGAATCACCACGAGTCGGAATTGAATATTATTCAAATGTGCGACTTTAAATTATGCACATGGTAATATGCCACGTAAGTTTAGTAAGGATGCGTTCGCCAAACGATAATGTCACTAGTGCCACGTCGGCCAAATAGGGTGCAAGAGGAAGTAATATGCATGGATTATGAGAGTCCTTGGGTAAAAGGTAAGTCAACCTTGAGAGATTTCATAAGACACATGGTGAAACCCTAGTAGTGCTCCCTAACGACTAACAACAAATTTAATGTTCCTTTTCCTAATAGGAATCAATCACTCTTTTTTCCTTCTTTTCGAGATCTCGAGATCCCTCCCTATAAATAAGAACTCTCCTTGTAGTGAAAGGATTCATTCGATTTCTGATACACTCAATCATTGGACTCCCTGTTGAGACGCCTCACCATTCCCTTTCACCCTAACCCCCTGGTTGATCCCCTATTTTGGCCTTCCTTTGTCTTTTAARGAGACCACTCCCACATAGCCTAACCACACCCTACCTACATTAGAATCTTTGGTTCGTTCCTTGATCATAGAGGATGGCCGCCCGTAGAATCAACCTTTCACCGATTCTAGAGGAAAACAACACCATCCCTGAAGATGCCAACCCAGAGGTTGGAAACCAGTATGAAGCGGAGGCGATGGAACAAGTCGACATAGAGATCTTATTAAACAAGGTCTATGAATTTGAAGCTCAGTTTGGGGCTCGGTTTGACCACATCGAGCAAATGCAAAACGAAACGAGGGCCACCCTGCAATTCCTCCTCCAACAGATGGGCCAAACCGAGCAGTCTCCCTTCACCTCGGTCGTCGCTCCCACAAATGTCTCCGCCAGCTACCATGCCTCCAACCCTAACCTTGCTGCACCAGAACGGCTTATCAGGGCCAATCTCATGCCCGTGCAAATGGAACAGCGCATCACCGAATAGTCTAGAATTCCTCTCCAAGCAAATCCAGCAAAAGAAGCCCCACACAGCCGGGATGAGTTGAGAGAATATGTCTAGGGGCTAGTAGTAGAGAGCCGTAACCATGCACATGATTTAGTCGTCCTATAGAAGCTATAGTCCGATCAAATCTTGTACAAGTGTTACCCAGCTGGTTACATCCCTCCACAGCAATGGCCACAGTATGACGGATAGAAGGGGAGCCCACAAGAGCATATAAGCAAGTTTGAAGATGTCTTGGGATCCTTCGCTCTCAATGGGGATCTAAAAGTTCATGAATTCTCAAAATCCTTGACTAGCCTGATGTACACTTGGTTTGTTAACCTTACTGTTGGAAGTATCGACTCATGGGTTGAACTGGCCAAAAGGTTCTTGTCAAAATTGTTCATTTTGGAAAGAAAGTTGATGATGGCCGACTTGAGGAGCACGGAGCAGCATTTGGGGGAAGACCTTTTGGCATATGTCATGAGGTTCCAGAAGTTGATTCACTCTACCTTCGATGAGCATGCCACGAAKAAGGGCTTCACCATGCAATGCGTGAAAGGGATGYAGCTTGCCTATAGAATAGGCATTGAGAACGTAGAGGTGGAATTCAGTTAGTTATGGAGGTGCGCTGAGAGGACAGCGGGCACGGTAAAAAATATCACAACCCAATCCTCACCGACACTAGGACAGTATGGGAGAAATGAGGCCAATGTAGTCAATTGGAGGCCCTACAACAACCAAGGGCCCAGGCAGGGGTCCTATTATTAGAGCAATGCCCAAGGAAAAAGGAATGACCTACCGATCCTTCCTCCTTTTTCCTGTACAAAAGAGGAAGTGATAATGATAATGAATAAGCTGGTTGAAGATAGGGTGATTAATCTGTCGCCACCACTAGCAGGAGTAGACCTAGAGAAAGATAGGCACGGCGGAAGGTGGTGCAACTATCACCACTCGCCACATCATGACCTGATGGATTGCTTTTCTTTGAGGAGATTGTTTATATAGAAGGTAAAGCTAGACAAGTTCGTGAAGAGGGACCCCGCGTAGGTAGAAACCGATCCCTTGCCAACTCATGTCCAAGGGGGAAGCATCAGCGTAATAGGGGCACCGGGCCAATATCAGCCTGACATGCTGATAGAGAGACTTGAACAAGCTCGAAGTTCCAACACTTCTTTAGCAAGCAAGGAGTGAGCACCTCGACGAGGAAACTAGCCATTAGAGCACTAGTGGAAGTCTTTAGGAGACCATTGGAACCTTACCAATCCAATCAAACCAGTGTAGAATTCACRTTGGAATACATGTTGGCTACGGACCCCCACCATAATCGACCCTTGTATGTTTCAGCGAGGGTGGGGGGTTTTGAGATGAGAAAGTCCATGGCCAACCGTGGGAGTTTTGTCAACTTGATCTTTGTCCACACATTGAAACTAATGAACATACAATAGGAGACAGTCAAAGTCTTACCTAAGGAGGTAACCAACTTTAATAGGAATGCGTCCGTCACAGAAGGATCCATCAAACTACTAGTAGTGATCAGACCATTTTCCATTGTGTAGGAGTTCCAGGTCATCTCAGGGAGGACCTCCTACCACATCATCCTAGGACGACCTCTGATACACAGCCTAGCCTTGGTCTTGTCAACATATCACCAATGCATAAAGGCTAAGCACAATGGATGTGTGATAAGAATCCCTGCCACTAAAGTCCCTTTCGATAGATCGGAGGCTCACCTACAAGATGCGATCTACTACATGGAGCTGGTAGATGAAGGGTAACGAGGATAACCAAGGTAGAAGGGTTGCAACTACCAGACCTTGTGCACGAGGTGAGCCTTCAGCGGCAATGGAA